GCTCTGGCGGCCCTGTGGGTAAGGAGTTGGGCTACCAACCCAAGGGTAGGGGGTTCAAATCCACCAGCTGAGAGATAAATGAGCACTCTCCTTCTGTGATTTCCAGCCCCTGAAAACCCACTGGAAGGTCAGCCAGGACTCAGTTCTATGATAATGAGGGAGACAGCAAAAGAAGCCTTAGCAAGATTCATGATTTTTTTTTTTTTTTTAAGATTCATGATTTGTTTTATTTAAAATTTTTGTACTAGGCTATACATCACATGATTCAAAATTAATACCGAAAAGCCCTCCTTCTCCAGCACTTTTCTCTGCAGAGACACGTTGGTATGAAATTCTTGCGTCTTTCAGAGTATTTTTATGTATTGAAAGTAAATATTTCTTACTTATTTTCATCTAAAAGTATTTATATCTGAAAAAAGAAATTCAAGATCAATGCCAACTAGTTTTTCTTCTTATTCCCTTCCAGAGTTTACTGAATTATAAACATAAAATATCTCGGAGCACACCTCTTTCGTTCCTTAAAACATGGATCCTTGCACAAGCAAGCCTCTATTCTACAGACCCCAGAACTCTTCTTTTCCTTCAAGCCCCCCCCCCTCCCTGATGACCCTAGAATCCCCTGCACCCTGGATTATTGCAGCTGACCTTCAGGTCTCTACATAATGCTCATAGGAAATTCTGGTGGCCTCGTTGGTATGGAGCTGTACTGCCAACCCAAAGGCAGGCAGTTCAAATCCATTAGATTCTCTGAGGGAGGAAGATAGACAATCTCATCCTATATAATTACAGCCTCTGAAAACCCACTGGAAGGTCAAATAGGAGTCAGTTTTGACCTGACAGCAATGACAAGGATGCTTTGCTCATATACTTTCTTCTTGGTTGGAAAGCACATTTTAAAAAATCAGTATTTATTCAAATGTCATTACCTCTGTATTAGAAAGTAATTGCTTGTGTATTCTCATGTTACATTATAGCATCAGTTACAACAGTAAGTGGCAGAATGAATTCTAAATAGTTAATGTGTTCTGCTCCTTCTCTCCAGTTGTTACTATATATTGTTCATTTTTGTGTCTATAAGCACAATGTTACAATTGAGAGAGATGAATAAAGTTTCCAGAAAGCATAATATACTGTATTTGGAAAAATGAGAGAATGAAATTACAGTAACCCCCAAAACAGAAAGCTAATCCCACCCAAACCTGTTGTCTCCAGTTGATTCCCACTTATAGTGACTCTACAGGACAGCGTGGAATTGCCTGGCAGGTTTTCTGAGGACATAAGAAGCAGATTGCCACTTTACTTCTACTGTGGAACATTGAGAGATTCCAATTGCCTTAATCTTCTGGTTAGGAGTAGGGTTCTTAACCTCTGTGCCACTCAGGCTCATTAAAAGAAAGATAATTGAGTTAAATTAATTAACAGTCTGTCAGCTGCATAATCTTCTAATCTTTATGCTGAATGTAAAAGAAATGTCACCTATTACTTTGTATTTATAGATTATAAAATTTAAGTTGTTTTTCACATATCCCAAAGAGAAAGACATACTCATTGAAATAAGTAACAAAAACGAGAAGGTTACTTGAACTTGAGCATGGCAGAGGTTGTGAGGATGGCTCAGGAGGGGGTAAGACTGGTCATCTGTTCTTCATGGGGTTGCTATGAGTCATGGTAGACTCGGGGTTGGCACCGAACAAAAACTGTAAGAAAACTATTTTTCTGTCATGCTTCTCTGGAAGTCAGTTTCCAGTTAAGGAGTGAATTTTGGGTTTAAAAAGTTGTTAGGGTCAACTGGGACATTTCCAGGACCCTAAATGCTGTTCCCCTGTGATTGGGAACATTGTTAACATTTGTGTTGTTGTTGTTATGTGCCATCCAGTCATTTGCAGCTCATAGAGACCCTGTGTACAAGAGCCCTAAACGCTGTTCTATCCTGTGCCAGCCTCGCTGTCTCAAAACATGCATTCTCACCTCTCCGAGGCTAAATTAGTTAAAGCTAAACTAGTACCAGAGCCCAATGACAGACACTGCTCCTTTCACTGTGTGAGAAGGAATTAAACACAACATACACGATATACTAGCTCCATTCCTTATCCTTACCAGAGCCTTCTAGTTCCTATTTGTAGAGTTTGTGTTTTTCACTTTCTTCTATGCTAATTCCAGTCAAGGAGAAATCCTTTCCAGAAGATCCTTATGATTCCTATTTCTACCTACTGTTTTATTTCCTTAAAGTTCTAAAAATGATACTCAAGTGTAAAGAAAAAAAATCACTCTTGAGGATATAAAACCCAATGCCATTGTACAGGAACCTTCCCATAGATAACCCTCCAGAGAGGGTTTTCAGAGGCTGCAAATTGCAAGGAAGGAGATTACCCATCTTTCTCCTGGAGAACAATAGGTAGATTCAAACCGCTTGCCTTTGTGTTACAGCTTAACTCCTCACCAGTAGGCCACCAGAGGCCACTAAGGCTGGGGTGGAGAGTAATGAAAAGGCTTTTTTTTTTTTTTTTTGATGTTCACTTATGAAAAGGCTTTTGACATGGGAATATTTAAAGTACAATTTAGATCTCTTTTTCTCCCCTCATAGAATTGTTCATTTTTGTACTTGTAAGGTACTTTTGTACTGTAACTATGGGCTCAAATATAACTGAGATAATGAGGATGGTACAGGCGTGTGAAAAGTTCAGTTTAGTTGTAATCAATACAACACAAAGGCAACTAAAAATAACAAGGTATATTTGAAATTCTAATATGAAAACATTGCATAAATGTTTTACAAGTATATATATAACACAGTAAGTTCATTCCCTAGGTTGTTGAGATCATCTTTCAGTTTTGTATTATTTCCCTCTTAAGGTAATTGAAAAAAAATGTTAGAGATAGCTATAATATGAGATTTGGGGAAAAAAAATATACATACAGTAACCTTATATTGGAAACGAACGAAATTTTGATATAAGTGTAGCATCATTTTTATGACAAACTATTGTCGTTGAGTCAGAGCAACCCTTTTTACAACAGATCTGAACTCTGTTCTGTATTCATAATTTCTGATACTTGAGAGAAACTGTTTGAATGCAATGAATATTATTTAGTACGGCCAGAGTGCCTCTTGGAAGTAAGGATAGCAAAAGTTTCATCTCACATGATCTTGTGTTATTTTGTTGTTGTTGTGTGCATGTTGTGTTCCGTGGCTAGGAACCTACCCATAGCTGACTCTTGAGTGGTTTTCAGAGGCAGTAAAATCATAAGGAAATGTTGTGCCCATGAAATGCCCCTCAAAGAAATCCAGAAACACGTCTGAAATTTCAAGAGCGTTTATTGTTTAATTTTTCCATGCGTTGGAGGCTTTTCCGCCTTCCTCAGAAAGGTGGTGAAGGGGAAAAGCCCTGAATTTTCCCTCCCACTTGCTTTTATAGCTTTTTCTTGGGTGCCCCTGCTAGGGCAAAGAGATTGGTGGGCCAGGGGGTCAGCCATTTGGTTGGCTTTTGGTGGGCTGGTTACTTTGCCCGCCTTTACTCTTTTTGTGTCACATAGACACTAGTTAATTCCTTACTTTTTCAAGGTCAGACTTGGCTTTACCCAGGGCACTCGTGTTTGCCCTAAGCCAAGAATTTTTATGGCCCGCTTCTGCCTCCAGCGCTAATGGGGGTTTATAAAAAAAATGGGGTTTCTGCTGCCCCTTCAAAAGATTGCTCATCCTTCTACCATGGAGCAGTTGTTGGTGTCAAACCACATGTCTTTGGGTTTGCAGTGCAGCTTCTTACCACTAGGTCACCAGAGCTATTTCTTAGAAAAAGACAACATTATTGGAAAAGTGGAGGGTGAGTAAAAAGAAGATCCTCAACGAGGTGGACTGACACAAAGACTGCAGAAATGGGCTCAAGTGTGTCAGAGATTGTGAGGATGGCACAGGATAGAACAGGGTTCAGGTCTGTTGTTCACAGGGTTGCTATGGGTTGTACGCAAAGGCACGTTACAACAGCAACATACCATACTCAGCTGAGAAAGACAGTAATTTTCTTTTCATGTGATTTACAGCCTCTGAAAACCAGCTGAATCATCTCTGAGTCGGTTCCGACTCGATGGCAGTGAGTTTGATGGCGTTTTCTAACACCAATACTTAAAGAAATCACCAAAGAGGACAGATTTTTGATGACTAGAAACAGAAAGACGACGCTGCTCTGGCATGAAAGAGAGCGCCTGCGTGGAATCCTGCGCCCGCCCGCCGGTTCCTTTCGCAGCCGCCGTTTCCTCTTTCTTTCGCGCTCTAGTCAACCAGGGAAGCTTGATGGAGCGTCATCGGACTCTGATTGGCTCCTTTGAAAGTCTACCGGCTAGCTGATTGGTAGATCCGAGACTCTTCGGCGCGGTGAGTTTGAAACTGTGCTCACTTACCTTCAAACTTGGTTGGTGGAAGTTGGAGGGAGCGAGACGCGGATGTGGTAGCCGCTGCCGCCACCACTGCCGTCGCCACTGCTGCTACCGCGGGACAATAATCTGGGTACAGTGTCAGGGGTCCAGGCCCTGCCGATGGGGCGCCGACCCGGCTGGGCAAGCTCGGGGTTTCGGGAGGGCGTGGGGCGAGTGTTGATGTTTGGGGCCGGGCTGGATTTTAGCCAGGCCTGGCCTCCGGAGAAGGTGCGGGACCCGGAGTTCCGAACCTGGAGAGCCTAGGCTTTGGGGGGCTTATTCCGGGGAGGACTGGGGTTGCGGAACCCGATGCTAGCGTCGGACGGAGAGGGCCCCTACCTGTTTGAGGTGGCTTCCTAGCCATACTGCAGACGGGGTGGGTGGAAGCAAAATCAGTGGGCTAGTTTAATGCGACCGGGTGCAGAGTGCCATGGTCGCTCTCAGAGATCCCGTGGGCCTGGCTTCGCGGGGAGGAGAGACCATCGGGTACAAGGTGCCCCACTCCAGTACCCCGAAATAGACAAGTGGAACGTGCGTTTCCCCCTGAACTTGCTATGAACGCCTTTAATCCATTTTTGTCCGAGGTTAGCATGACTGGTCTGCGTGGCTCTGGAGGTCAGTCGGGAAGAGCAAGCCTGATTCTCATCCTACAGTGCTTTATGCACCGAGTCTTGGGAGAAGTCCAAAAGGCATTCGAAAGCCACACACGTACTTTGCCTAAAATTGTTAAAACTGTGAAATGGAAAAAGGTCATTCAGCCCTGAAATTTAAGTTAGTTTTAAAATGTTCAGAGTGAGCTCAGTAGTTACATTGTGCATTGTTATTGTTTACCATTGAGTCAGAACCGACCCATAGCTGACCCTCCAGTGGGTTCTTAAAGGCAGTAAGTCACATAGGAGGAAACAACCCATCTCCCAGGGAGCAGCTGGTGGATTTGAACCGCATGCCTATGGGTTGGCATTGCAAATCCTTAATACTACATTGTACATTGTTACTAGGTGCTGGGGAGTCGAGTAAGATGCAAAGCGATCTATGCACAGCCACCCTGAACCCTCCACTATCCTGTGCCATCCTCATCATCTCTGACACACTAGAACCCATTGATGAAGTCACCGGGTCGGACTATCTTGTTGGGGGATCCTCTTCTCCATCTTTCCAAGCATGGTACTAGTTTCCAAGAAATAGCCTCTCCTAGCATTAGGTAGTATAGTATCTGATTATCAAAGAAAAATTAATTGTCCTAAATTCTCTGGACATTTTATTTGAAAAGTATAAATTTTTATGATTAATTTTGCCTTACATTCCATTTTACTTATTTATGCAATGGTGTCTCTCTGGAGACTAAGGTGCGTCTGATACAGGCTATGGTCTTCTCAATCACTTGTTATGCATCAGAGTTGGACAATGACCAGGGAGGATAGAAGGAGAATTGATGCCTTTGAGCTGTGGTGCTGGAGAAGAGTATTGAGAATACCATGGACTGCTAGGAAAACAAACAGATTTGTCCTGCAAAGGGTTAAACCAGGTGGCTCCTTGGAGGCAAAGATTCTGAGGCTCCTCCGTTTAACATACTTTGGACATGTGAGGAGGGACCGGTCCCTGGAGAGGAGGGATATCATGCTTGGAAGGGTGGAGGGACAGCGCAGGAGAGGAAGGCCCTCTATGAGGTGGATTGATTCAGTGACTGGGATAATTGGAATGGGAGTGTCAGAGACAGTGCGATTGGCACAGGACAGAGCAGAGTTTAGGGCTGTTGTACATAGGGTCGCTATGAGTCGCAAGCGACTTGACGGCACATAACAACAACAACATAATGTCTTATTATTACTATTTTCTTTGGGATTTGGATGGGGGTTTTTCTCCCCCATATCTTGGAGAAAGTGCAACCGCCATTCTTGTTGGAGGCAAGGATGATGAAGCTTTGTCCCACATACTTTAGGTTTGTGTTTGGAGGGGCCAATCCTTGTACAGGGATATCATTCTTGGAAAGTTGGAGGGTCAGCAAAAGAGAGGAAGACACTCAATGAAATGGATTGACACCGTGATTATAACAAAGGATTCAAGAATATTAAATATTAAACTCACCTATCAATGTTGCACACAAGATCTAAGAATTGACAACTGAGGATCAGCCACACAGTTGACTTTGGGTTTTATATAATTAGTGGTGTGTTAGAAAAATCAAAGTCCGAATTGCTTTACTGTCTGAAGCTGTGTTTCATTGTTAGGCTTATGAGTCGGGGAGTTCATTTCCTGGTCATCAGCAGGTCAGCAAATAAACCGGCTTTGGGCTTATTTTCAAAGGGACCAGTCCCAGGAAAAGGACTTACTGTGAGGGTCAGCAGAAGTGAGGAGGACCCTTAGATGGATTGCAACAGTGGTCTTGACCTTGGCAGAGAGCGTGATGCTGGCCCATGGACCAGGCAGGATTTCATTCTGTCTGTATCCTCAATCTTGTTACCATCAAGTCAGAACCTACTCATAGCTGACCTTCCAATGGGGTTTTCACAAATCACGTTGGAGGAGATTGCTAATCTATCTTTCATGGACTGACTGGTGGATTCCAGCCTTTGAGTTGGCAGCACAATTTCTACCCACTAGGTCACCAAAGCATTCTTACTGTTCATATAGGGTTGCTATTAGATCATAGCAGCACCTAAAGTGTATATACACTTGCAGGTACAGGGATTTCTGATGGTATAGTCCACAGCGACTTGTGCCACGCCTCTGAAAGTTCAAATCCACCGCTGGCTTCATGAGAGTCTTCCTTCTCAGTGATTTACAGCCTGAGAAACCCAGTTATGAGTTGGTTTATTTTAGCTGGGTAATGAGTAGTAATTGTTGTATGCAATTGAGTTATAAGAACTCCTGACTGATAGCTGACCTTCCAGCCCGTATTCAGAGGCAGTTGCATGGGAGGAGATGGTCCATTTTTCCTGGCAGGAGTAGATTTTTGTTGAGAATATGCACAGAAAAGCAAAGGTCAATTCACTTGCTACAGGCATACCTTAGTATTCCATGTTCTTTGATCCTTAAGATGATTCTTAAAAGAGCACAATGCTTGAGGCTGATGTTTGATACAAATCTGGCAAAACTATTCGATTTACACACACTTGATTTAAAGGGAGCTCTGGTGGTCTGACAGGTAAGTTGTATTGTCAGCCTAAAGTAAAGCAGTTCAAATCCACCAGCTACTCCTTGGGAGAAAGAGGAGAGCAGACTCTTCTCATACAATTTACAGCCTATGAAAACCTACTTGTTGTTTTGTTATGTGCCTTCGAGTCGCTTGCGACTCACAGCGACCCTATGTACAACAGCCCTAAACTCTGTCCTGTGCCAGTCGCACTGTCTCTGACACTCCCATCCCAATTATCCCAGTCACTGAATCAATCCACCTCATAGAGGGCCTTCCTCTCCTGTGCTGTCCCTCCACCCTCCCAAGCATGATGTCCTTCTCCAAGGACCGGTCTCTCCTCACAACATGTCCAAAGTATGTTAGACGGAGCCTCAGAATCCTTGCCTCCAAGGAGCCACCCGGTTTAACCCTCTCCAGGACAAATCTGTTTGTTTTCCTAGCAGTCCATGGTATTCTCAATACTCTTCTCCAGCACCACAGCTCAAAGGCATCAATTCTCCTATCCTCCTTGGTCATTGTCCAACTCTCTGATGCATAACAAGTGATTGCGAAGACTATGGCCTGTATCAGACGCACCTTAGTCTCCAGAGAGACACCATTGCTCTTCAGTAATTTGGAGAGGTCCCTAACAGCAGACTTTCCCATGGCAATGCGCCTTTTAATTTCCTGGCTGCTGGTGCCAAGACTGTTGACTGTGGAGCCAAGGAAACTAAAGCTGTGTATAATCTCAATCTCTTCACCATCCTGATGTTGCCAATTGGTCCAGTGGTGAGAATCTTTGTCTTCTTGACATTGAGCCTCAATCCATATTGGAGGCTGCAGTCCTTGACACTCTGCAGCAGGCGCTTCAGGTCCTCTTCAGTTTCAGCAAGCAGGGTTGTGTCATCTGCATAACGCAGATTGTTGATAAATCGTCCACCAATCCTGACCCCACATTTCTCCTCATAGAGCCCAGCCTCCCGGATAATCTGTTCTGCATATAGGTTGAAAAGGTATGGAGATAGGATGCATCCCTGGCGTACGCCCTTCCCAATTTTGAACCATGCAGTGTTCCCTTGCTCTGTTCTGAAGACTGCCTCCTGGTCTCTAAGTATAAGTTTCGTATTAGAACGATCAAGTGTTCTGGGATTCCCATTCTTCTCAGAGTCAGCCATAGTTTGTTATGATCTACACAGTCAAATGCCTTTGCATAATCAATGAAACACAGATAGACATTCCTCTGGTATTCCCTGCTTTCAGCCAAGATCCATCTTACATCAGCTACAATATCTCTAGTACCACGACCCCTTCTAAACCCAGCCTGGACTTCTGGTAGTTCTCTGTTGATGTGCTGTTCCAGTCGTTTTTGGATAATCTTCAGTAAAATCTTGCTTGCATATGAAATCAGTGAGATTGTCCTGTAGTTTCCACATTCTGTTGGGTCACCTTTCTTTGGAATGGGAACAAATATAGATGTCTTCCAGTCAGTTGGCCAAGTGGTCGTTCTCCAGATTTCTTGGCACAACTTGGTGAGCACGTCTAGGGCAGCATCTGTTAACTGAAATATGTCAATTGGTATACCATCTATTCCTGGAGCCTTATTTTTTGCCATTTCCTTCAAAGCAGCCTGAACTTCTTTGATCACCATAGGCTCTTGCTCATATGTTGTTTCATGAAATTCTTCTGTGTCTTCCAATTCCTTTCGATACAGTGACTCAGTATATTCTTTCCATCTTCTTTTAATACTTCCTGGATCATTTAACATTCTGCTGAAAGCATCCTTGATTATAGCAACTCGAGGTTTGAATTTGCTCTTCAGTTCCTTGAGCTTAAGATACGCTGAGCGAGTTCGGCCCTTTTGATTTTCTGACTCCAACTCCTTGCGCATTTCATTGTAATATTTTGCTTTGTCATCCCGTGCTGCCTTTTGAAATCTTCTATTCAGCTCTTTAGTATCTTGAATTCTTCCTTGTGCTTTGGCTTCTCTGCGCTCCAGTACAATTTTCAGAGTCTCTTCTGACATCCATTTTGGTCTTTTCTTCCTCTTCTGTCTTTGCAATGACCGTTTGCACTCTTCCTGGATGATACCCTTGATATCCTCCCAGAACTCCCACTCCCAAATGTTAGCATATAACATTTGGTTTTACCTCTCCCAACCCTAGGGCAGGAGTTAGTTAGATTGACCAGCTGTTCTGCAGAGGAATGATTAACCATCTCTAGCCATGTGATTTATAGCTTCTGAAAACCTGCTGGAGGGCCAGCTGAAGATTATCTGGGCAGTTGGGTTTTGTACCATTAAATTTCACAGGAGGAAATTGCCCATCCTTCTCCAGTGGCTCTGCTGGTGGGTTCAAACCTCACACCTTTAGGATGCAGTGCAGCTTCCTTAGCACTACACTAGGCCACCAATTTTTTTTTTTCTTTCTCTCTAACAATACTTTGTGATTAAAAAGGTTGGGGTTTTTTTTCTTGTTTCTTAATTTTGTGTAGGACATAATTG